TTCAAGATCCGTGGGTTTGTGTGGACTTTTTTTTTTTCCAGCCCACTCTCCCCCCCTCCCTCTCCTGTTTTCTCATCCGTGCTCTCGCTCGCTGGAACCCTCGTCTTTGTTTCAGCAGGGAAAAAAAAAAAAAAATTGCTTCCCTTGTAAAGTTGGCCGTGGCAGAGCGAGCCCCTGGAGAGCGATGCTGCCCGGGTGGCGCGGGAGCCAATGGCAGCCCCTGCCGCCCCGGAGCCGCGGTGCCCAGCGCGGGGGGACAGCCCCGATAAATGCCTGCCACCTCCCGGTGTCGGGATGGCCCGCGGCTGGGGGCACTGCCGGTCTCACACAGGTACCTCCACGCAGCTGCTCTCCCCAGGATGGGCTTTTCTCCCGGCATGATTTCGGTCACGGGCCCCGTGTCTCGGTTTGGGCATCTCTGTCACTCAGGTCTGTGTGTGCTGCTGGTCCCCGGCGGTCCCGTGGGGCTGGGGGCCTCTCAGCCGGCCTGGGCTCGCAGGGGGCTTGGGGTCTCAGGGGCTTGTGTTTCAGGTGTGTGCTGCTATGCCCAGGTTTGCCTTTGTTTGGAGCAGGGACCGGGATGAGGGACGCGGGGGGGCTGGTCTTTTATTTTCCCTTTTGCATGAGTCTTTGATACCGTCCCCAGGCGGGGATCCCATTTCCCCGAGCCGCCTTTGCTCTGCGTGGCTCCTCCTGCGCTGCCGGGATTCACAGCAGCCCCAGGTGAAGGGAGAAGCCGGGGCTGCTCCGTGCCCNCTGCTGGCAGCTCGGAGCCGCTTCCCGGCCCTTTGTAATGAAAGGCGGCTCTGTGCTCGGCGCTCCGTGCTCGGTGCTGTGTACTCTGTGCTCGGTGCTCGGCGCGGCAGCCGCGGCCCCGCTCTCCCCGCTCCGCCGGTTCTCCCGAGGGACCCAGCCCAGCCCAGCCCAGCCCGGCCAGGCCCTGCTCGTTTTCACGGGCTCGGTGTGCTCGGGGCTCCAGAATGGCCTGGGCAGGAATTGCCTGTATTAAACACTGGCCCTGGTATTAACTTATCTTCTGCCTCCTTGAACCTGCTTATCGCTGTGATCCCAATTGCAGCGCTTACATCTTGCTCCAAAGTGGGCATTTCTGAGCCGTATCTCCGATCTACTAATTAATGGCTTTATTAATGCTAGAGGAATGGCATGGCTTGGGACAGGGGGTATGAGAAGCAGGGGAGTTTGGGTGAATCAGGCTGCTACGGTAGAGCCTGAAGCTGTCCCAGGGAATTGGTCCTGGTGAGACACAGCTCCCACACACTGCCATTCCCTCCTTTTCCTGGGCAAGCCCCAGGGCCACCTCTGCCACCGTGGTTCAGAGCCTGGCATCTGTGCCACGCTCCAGCCAGCAGCACTGTGGGGCTGGGAGTGAGCAGGGGATGAATGGGACCAAGCCTGGGTGACATCTGCACTTTCCCCTTGGATTTCTCTGCCACCTTGGTGCCAGCCCTCAGAGATAAAGAGGGAGCCAAACCAGAGGCGAGGCATCAAAAGGGGTTGTGTGTATGTGGATGGGGTGCAACACCATATCCCCCAATGTCCCCTTTGAGTTGATGCCACCAAGGACGGTGGGTGACAGCCACCTTGCCCGGGAGCGTTTGGCAGGGGTGGCAGTAGCCAGCTGGAGGACACAGAGGGGTGTTCATGTTTGTGTGGTTTGTGGGACTGAGTGCATGTTGGGGCCCAGAGCTGCATCACCAGTGCAGCATGCACCTGCAGCACCCCACTGCCATGTGTGTGGGGACAGTCACAGCCCTTCCCTGCACCTGCCACTGCTCAGAGGGAAGCCAGCGGGAAAGAGGACGGTGGCGATGCTCCATCCTGCCCGAGATGTTTGGTCTGTCTCCCAGGGTGGGCAGCCCTGCCCCGGGCTCCCTCTGCCCACATGTGTGCCGTGACCTCCATGGC